TCCCTTTTTGAAAGACTGTTGACATGTCTGGGGGCACCGTCTCGCTCTCAGCGTTGCCTCTTGCACTAACGCGTGGCGACCGTCTCTCCCTCTGGGCCCTCGGCTGTTGGAGCGGTGAACAACCGTCCTTCCCGTGCCGGCGCGTACAGGCGGGGTGGGATTCCGTAGCCCCTCCTGTGCCAAGATGGTCGTCAGACACTACACTACTCACCTGGGAGAAACCACGGAAGCTGGACTGTACTGGGAGCTCTTCACCTCCTGCTTTGTCAGCGAGCGGGAAGGGCGGCTCCTCGGTAACAGCAGCGCCCGGGGCTGAAGGCAAGTGCAATCTGCACACGGGTCTGGGGGGTGCTCCCAGCTTGTGCAGGGCTGGGCGGGAACGCTAAGTGTATGTTGTGTTCTGAGTGTTTCTATGTCCTAAAGGAAATAAAACATCCCTGGGGCAGTGGCGTTTTGCTGGCCTGGGAAGAGTCAAACTCTGGTTCATCATCACGTAAATCCCTTTTCCGCCCCCCCCCGTCTCGCTCACCACCAGCTGCGGTGCGATACCTGGGCATGTTCCCTCTGGTTCAGCTTCAGGAGCCCCCCCCGCAGCTGGGGAGGGGGGCGCGCCTCTGGCAGCGTTGCCCACCGCGGAGCAGCGCCCTTGCCCTGGCGGGGGCTGTGCGAGCCCTTGTGCCGCGCTCTGCCCTGCTGGAGGCTCTGCCCTGACCGCTGACCCTTTGCTGTGACCAACAGCCCCCGGCTGCCCTCACGGGCTGAGGTAAGCAAGTGTCTTCTCTTGTGCAGGAGCCCTTACTAAAATTCGGGTCCCAGACGAAGGAGGGTGAGGAGCGGCTCCGGCCGAGCTCTGCTTCGCCCCAGCGCCTTTGCTGAGCTCCGGCCGGTAGCGGGGAGGGGGGTGGGGGGGTAACAGAAGCAGCAGAGCCAGGCCGTAGCAGTCATCTTTTATTTGACCTTGTCATTCTTTTAAGAAACATCCCCACAGTTACAAAAGACGCTATTTTTGGTTTGCAGTGAAACGCTGACCGGACAGTAACAGTTGGCAGATTGGTCACAATCATCTGTTTGGTGGTGGTTTTTTTTTTTTAAAAAAAAAGCACTTATACACGAAGTCCCTCCCTCTCCCTTTTAAACTACCGGGTAGGGTTTGGGTTTTTTCTTTTTTTTTATTTAAGCAGCTTGATAGTGTTGCATCTTTGTGAGAGTTAAGACAATAAATAAAAACCCCATCTCTTGGTGACTACAGAAATCTACATTCAGGGGTGTTTCTTGGCTAGGGCTGCACGTCCAGTTTATTGCTGTCGCGGGCAGAACTCCGTGCCTGGGAACTGGCTGCAGTAAGTGCACGTGTACGCGGTACCTTAGCTGGGCCAGGGCGGGACCCCTGTGAGCGTTGCTGGAGTTCGTACAAAGAAACGCTGCGCTGAGAACTACGATCGCTTGAAAGCTGTCGGCGGCGCCCACCACGCCCGTGGGCCCTCGCGGAGGTGTTTGGCTTTTCAAGAAACAACTGTGGCTTCCCGAGCTGCTCTCCGTACTTCAGGGGAAAGGCAAGAAGTAGGGCAGTTGTCTGATCCTGTTTCTGCTCCTCTTCGATTAGAAGAAGCACTTGGTAAGTCACACGCATCCCCTCACACGCACGCACACACACGCAGAGCTCCCTGGGCGCGAACCGGGCCCTCGGGAACAAAAATCCTGACCCTTCGCTGGGGGAGCGGCCTCGTTCCGCCCCCGCTCGCCTCCCGTAGCTTATGGCTGCCCTGAGCAGTCGGGCCCTGCTCGCCCCTCGCCTCCCTGCGCTTCGCTCCCCTCACCATCCTCTTCCTAACCAGCATCCTCAGGCCCGGGCTGGGGGAGGAGGTGCCAAGACCTGGACTGTGGAGCTTCAACCAAACTGGTTTTGGCTCCTGAGGCTCCAACAGATCACCAAGACCCGCTTGGTTGATTTTTACTCACTGGACGTTCCCCCGTGGCCCTCGGCGGGGGCTGGATCCCCGCTGCAGCGGGAAGGGGATGCAACGGCTGCAGCCGGGGTGGAGCTGGAGGTTCAAAGCGGCTGTTCTGGTGCCTCCAGCTCCCAGGTGCTGAAGACCAGTTGATAGCACTGCCAGGTCGTCTTTCAAGTTATAAAGAATATAGGTTCCTGTGTTGGTGGTGCCCAAAAAAAAAAAAAAAAAAATTCCCACCTGTGTACGTGGGGGCGTTAGAAAATGAGCAACTTGCTCTTGTCTTTGCGGGCAGGGGCTTTCGCTGCAGCCGGCGCTTCTGCAGGGCCTCCCCTTTCGGGGCACAGCCACCGAGTCAGAAACTTTGGCTTTAAGGACAGAAGCAGAGCCGAGTGCCTGCGTTCACCCAGGCCCTGTGCTCGTCTCACCAAACCGTGTCCTTCCTCGCCCCAGGGAGGGCACAGCAGAGGGGCAGCGAGCTTCGCCGCTGGATGCGACCGCCGCCGTGTGCCCCGCGCCGTTACCAGAGCTGCAGGGCCGCATCCCACCGACCCTGGTGCATCTCACAGCCGCTGGTTTTACTGCCTTTGGACAGGGCTTGCAGGCCCTTGCACCAGCACCGTGTCTGTCACCATGAAGAGGCACGGGAGTCGAGCCTGTGGCTGTGCTGCCTGGGTAAGTAAAAGGAATCAAAAAAATACCAGGCCAATAGTTTTAAATCTTTGGCTTGAAAACCAGTTTTCGACACCAGCAGAGGTCTGGAGCCGCCGGAGCTGTCTGAAGGAGGAAGAGCTCAGTTCCGCACCGTGCACAAAGCTCGGCAGCATCGGCACCCGAGGCACCCCCGGCCCCAGCCCGGGGCTCTGTGGACCTCCCTGCGGGTTCTACCTGCTCCAGGCGCCTGCGGCTGCTGAGCTGGAGCCCTCCAGCCCCTCAACTCTAGGCACTTCTCTGTCATCTCCTCTTCTACCTGCCTTTCCTTCCCATTACGAAAGCTTCCTGGTTACTAGGCTTAGTTTTCTGCCCTCTACTTCCCTCTGGGCAATCTGCTCTTTCAACAACCTCTACGGTGACCAACCCCCCTCTCACGTTCTTCAAGCTACAGCACACTTGTCTCCTCCTGCCCCCATCCTTCTGCGACCTGTCCACAGCGTCCGTCCTTCAGCTCAACTGTGTTTTTCGAAGGTAACTGAGTCCCAAAGCCACCACAGAGCCGTTTTCTGCCCTCTACTTCCCTCTGGGCAATCTGCTCTTTCAACAACCTCTACGGTGACCAACCCCCCTCTCACGTTCTTCAAGCTACAGCACACTTGTCTCCTCCTGCCCCCATCCTTCTGCGACCTGTCCACAGCGTCCGTCCTTCAGCTCAACTGTGTTTTTCGAAGGTAACTGAGTCCCAAAGCCACCACAGAGCCCCCCTGCCTCCTCCTGCCCTCACCCAGCAGGTGCCTGGGGCCAAGGAAGCCCATGGGCAGCTGGAATGAAATCGTCTTTGAAGGTATCTAACACAGCCCGGCAGAAGCGCTGGGAGCTGGAGGGGGAGACAGGGGA